GTAAAAACTGAAACTGAAAACTGCGTAACCAGTAACAGGGACTTTGTCCACTGCGAGCACAATTAGCCCAATGACAGCTTCCCTATCTACTCACTCATTCACTTTTATTTTTTCCCTCAGATGACAAACCAGATTTTTGTTTACTGCCTGTGTTGTAATTCCAAAAGGCGGTGCCTGGACGAGGACAGTTATTATGGATAACGGTAACGGTATCGGTAAATTGGCATCCATACAGCAAAATGACTCATTTGGAACGGGCTATCAGAATTCCTATTCGCACACAGAATAGTTACTGAAACGGCTCAACAGTAGATGCGCATTCCTGTGGATATCATAGTGAGCACGGCAATTCGCTCCAACAGGTCTTGTTCATTTTTAAGCATTGAGAGAAACCGTCAGTTACGTCCTTTTGCGTACTACTCACAAATGAGAGTAGTATCTCACAACGCTTTTATCTTTCTTGGACGACTGGATGTAATTGAGTAACATGAGTCAAAACTGAGGTTCGAAGTATATCAGAGTTACTGTATTAGTTCAACTCGCTTTAGATTAATTGTTCGTGCTAACAGTGACATCAAGCACAATACCTTATCGGTTTAATGTAGGTCAAAACAGCTGATTATCGTTGTTTTAAAAAATACACTATCTTGCTTTTAGCCATTATTCGATGGACAAGAAACGTGCATATTTAGATGTGCTCTTCTCCAAACGAATCCCTACAATTAGGGACGAATTAAAAATACACGAAAATAAGGTAAGCCTTTTGGATGTTGCTTCATGTACTTGGGTCTAACACCTCTAATTAGGCGTTCATAATTTGTCCTTTCTATTTCCCTAACAGACTGGTGGATAGATGCCTTTTAGGTTGCAATATTCTTGCCATATGTGCCGAGTCCGTTTCAGGTTAAAACTGTATTGTTCGGAACGTACGGACGATGTTTTGCTGTCTAATGTAACTTGTAATCTTATTCAAAACTCGAATGGATGTTATGGAAGAGGATTTTTGAATGTGTTCATAGTGTTTCATCCGTATAAAGATGTTAGGATGTTAGCTGCAACGGGAAACACTGCAATTTTTTTTGTATTTATACCTGATCCTCTTTGAAAACCTATCTCTCGTCAAGTCAATGAATCGTTTTATACACTCTGAGGGGTAGGTATTCAGCAATCGGTTTTTCAATCCTTAGACAGGCTCAGTTCCCGAGACTTTTCCGCTAGTACTGAAGTGATTTGATGTATTAAAGCACCACAATGTTAGAGGATATTTGAAAAAAAAATCGATTTTATTTCGAATGCTTGGAGTTAAATACAGCAAAACGAGTGAACACAATATGCAGAGAATATACAGTATGTTTATACATCCTCAATTCCTGTTTGCGTCATTTTTTATTACAATCACGCCACGGTGTTTGTTTATTTATTTGTTCTAACACGTATGTACCCGAATGCTCTATTCAGATTAATGCCATCGGGGCGCAGTTGGCTACCCATCTTCGTGAACTGCTCGCACAAAATAAGGATGAGCAAATCGAAGATCATTCGTACTTCATTTGTGACTTGCCAATTGCCCATTTATTCGGATTAGAATCTCGTTTGGCCATGGCCCTGGGTGATTATGCACACCAAACTCTGTCCACGGTTAGTACACGTATGTCTTCCTTTTCCACGGTTATTCCGTTTAGCATGTAATAATATTTTTAATCGGCTAATTACCTCTCCTCGGTTTATTAATATTGTATCTACCTGCTCACCAGACCGAGCCAGGCAAAGCATCATCGTTTTACAAAGATAGTGAATGGGAGAAAGAGGAAGTAGTTACGAATCCACCACGTAGAGATAAAAGCTATCCACTGTTTGCGTTTTTCTCCATTGTATCGGTGTTTTGGGCTAGTTATCCAGGTCAAAGTTGGAGTTTGATGCCACTAAGAGCCTCTGGGAAGCTAACTCCCACAGAATTGTAGGACAATGCTTCGATTAAGCGATCAATTGGGACCGGGGGGCGGGGGGGGGGAGGCATTCATTGTTTCTTCGATCGGATCACAAGTCGTGGTCAGTTCATACGCCTTATTATTTGTAATTTGGAATCAGACGAGATTGTTGACAGTTATTTGTCTATCCCGATGTGGCCAAGCGGCCTAATTTTTATGGTCAGGGTGGGTGTCTAGAGTTGCGACTGGTCAACCTTGCACCTCGCGAAATGCTTCCATACGACCAAGCGTCTCGAATAGCCTCTACTGAGGAAGCCCTAGACACTGCCTTCTCGTGACGGAGGTGTTTTCCCACCAAAGTGAGAAAACGGAAAGCCGATATCCGGGACTATAGCCGGGATGGTGGACCACTGGCTGTTCACCTAGGAGAGTTGGCTAGAAACCCTGATTCTATTGAACTGGACGACAGCAGAGCTGCCTACCACCAAAGATAGGTGGTAGTGGCGAGGCTCGAACTCCAGACCATAGGGTCCAAAGCACGCCAGTGATAGTGACTAAACTACTGCGCCACCATCACCGTCCCTCGGCGGATACTTCGAAAGATGGATTCCGCGAGGACATCTCTTGGGATGAAAACGGGGTATCACTCGACCTCGGAGAGACTGGAGCTGCTTAAGGGTGTTATCACTTG